CGGCAACTGTGATGACATGTACGAACGTCATGTTATTCTAGACAGCATCACTGCCTCTGATGGCTCGGCGCTTGTTGGTAAGAAACTCTTTTTCTCTTCGCCATCCCTCCCTCCGGACTTTTCCCGGCGACCTGCGCCTAGGATACTTGGATGGACGAGTTTAGGTGGATTAGGCTAACCAAAGTAAAAAAATCTAAATAGGTATCAACTCCAACTACGGTGACACAGCCACCTTCAGCAACATTGTCGTCAGTGATGTTAACAACATTTGCGTCGAATACGAGGGCAATGACACCGGCGATGAGCCTGAAAAGATTGGCTCAGGCCCCTCCGACTACTGCCTGTACGACGACAGCGACATCACCGAAGAGTAGAAACCGTTCGTTTCTCTTCATCACCATTGATTCTCACCTATGACGGGTCGTGAAATACATCCCCGGTTTTGTTCATTTTTGACCAGCCCATCTTTATTGTGAATCAACGTCCATGGTACGGGCTAGGTCTAGCCTAGCGCAATGGGGTATGGGCTAAGGGCTATAGACTTGATTTGTATATATATATATATATAGGTATATATGGTCGCTGGGTAGCCAGTCCTTCGCCGGCCTTTTCTCTTCGGTCCCTATGTAGTTATTCAGCAGTACTGTTCCAATGGCCGTATGGCTGACTCCCATCACAGTCCGCGTGATGATTCTCACTGATAAGTGGGTGAGCGCTCCCATGAAGGAAGTGAGCTAGTGCACTGTCCTGTAGCAATCTACTGAAGTCTACTCAGATGATCAAAGATCTAAGTTTCTACTTGATACATACGAAATGGAAGTGCCTCTATAGTAAGGGACCGCTGCACCGCCACAATGAGTCAACAGTGACCGTTGCACCGAGTGTGCAATATTGCTGCCACGGCTCTTGGGCACGAAGGCATCAGTTATGCTCGGATTTATGGAGGTGCCAGCCCCAATACACGTGTCGAAGTCTTTGAAGCCTTCTCTAAGCAAAGGCATCAAGTCTTATTGATAACTCTATCCTGTGGCGCTGTCGGGTACGAAGACGTGAATAAAACGTGGATGTGTAGGCCAAGGTTACTCGAGGATACGGCGCAGTAAGGGTGGTTAGTGGTGCCTGATGCAAATCTGCCTTTTTTTTTATCGAGCCGCAACTATATCAGAAGTCTATGACTGGTCTCTAGCTGAACTTTTAACGCGAATTTCAACTAATTACCTATTCATTTGTACTAGGTGTACTGAAGGAGGCTAAATGAGTACCTAGGTAGCACTCATCCTAGCCTTATGCGAGGAGGTAATAGGCCAAACTTACACTTCCTAAAGACATATTGATCATAATAAGACGCAATAGCTGATAATGTTGATAATTGCAAGTGAGGCTAACTACCTAGTGAGAAAAAACCTTCAACGTATCTCCAGTGTTGACTAGGTATATAACCCCTTCTCAGCTAGTTATGCATGTACGAACTGGCTTCTTAAGGTGATACAATCCATGGTCTCTACCATCTGTGTCGGACAAGCAGGATAAACCGAATGACGTCCTGAAACATTGTCCTCTCTAAGCGGGACCCATTTGTCCGCCGCTACCACTCGCGGTTGGATCGACGCCAACCGTGATATATCCGATGATACCATTGGTATAGTCTTCTCCATCGGAAGGCACGACACTAATAACCGGATTGTAACCGTTATTGTTGTCCGCGAAAATGGAGTCGACTGAGTTCGTCGTGCGGTTGATTTGGGTGTGTGAGGCATAAGGTTCCAAGGCCATAATCTGCGATGACAGAGTCTCGTCGAAGAAAAATTGCCCTGTCGACACAACATTGCCAGAAGACACAGTGCCGTTTTCGCGTAGCGTCCAATTGGTATATACCTCGGCGTGGATATGGATGGCGCGTTCAACATAGAAACCTGGGAAAGTAGTCTTCATTTCCATCACGCCCTCAGCATCGGTTGGCCACTGACCGCGGAGGAAGGTGGTGTCGTCTGTATGTAGATCGGTCTTCCCGCTTATCAAATCTTCAATGTCAATGCCAACTTCTTCAAGCAATTCTTCGAATGGAGTATTTGGCGATCGACCGGTAAAACTCGAATAACTACCAGTAGCGTTACAATGCCAGAGGTTAACGAGAACATTGGGAAGAGGCTCGCAAGTATTTATATCGAGAACGCCGATATCGAGCCAAAGAGGGACGCCAGGTTGATTCTCACTCATATCCTGTCGTAAGGTTTGAGAGCGTGGCCAGATATAGGGGCCTCCTGTAACAGTCGGAGTCAAAACGCAAGTGTCGTTTTGGATAGAGTCGTAGTAAGGAGCCTCGGTCTGGATCTCGTAGGTGGTATTGCCCGCCCATCGCTTCGCCATACGCCTTCGGTTGAAACTGGCGGCGGAAGGCTGACATCTCTTAGATATGACACTACGACGTTCAACCTCACGACGAGAGAGTGTTTCGGGATGTGCCAGGGCGGACGAGAGCAGGCCAGTGATAGCCACTAATGAGAACTTCATTGTGAAGATGGAATGAGACGGAACGACTGCTGAGGTGATAGAACTAGAGGCCGATACTGTCCCCGATGAGAAAAAATAACCAGACTGCGGTTGGTAGCTCAACTATTTATACTCAAGCACTTGACGAAGCCTACTAGTGTACGTGACAGGCATTGCCTGCCAAGTGCTAGGCGAGTGCCGTTCATCGGCCATATTGAGGCGGTAAAATGGTAGCATGGAATTGACAAATCGACCCGAGAGGCTGGCCCTGCGAAGAAAGAATAGAGGGGCCGGCCCGAAGAGGATCATGCTGTGTATGTAGCTATGGACTAGGTTACATCCTAAAGAGAGGTACGCATAGCAGTCCGAAAGGAAACAAACGACTGCGCTAAACAAGACTTCGGAACATTATGCCATGGTGGACTTGGCTCCACGCAATGGCCTAACTGAAATTGATATCTGCATTAATCACCTCATCTATCTGAGCCACAGCCTCTCTGGTGTTTTGTGCCGGGGATGTATAGCGTGCCCTCTATTACTTGTTTGGCGCTTGCATAATTGTTCAATCTCCGACTTCTCTGTATGTATGTCCAATCAACGGCCTCGGAGACAGGAGTTTCAAGATGTCCACCTAGGTGAATGTGGAAGCTCCTATTCCTCGAGTTCGGGATGTGGGCGAAACTTTTGGCAGATGAATTAACTTCTCACGCAGAATCCCCAGTTTTCGCTACGTCAACTCAAGAACGGTACCCAGTCCCTACGTAAGCCTTCCACGTGTCTTGCCCGCTAATCCAGTCGAAATTATTAAGTGGACATGTGTGATTGGATGAATTCGGCTGGGATCTTTTGCCAACGCTGTGGATCTGATACCCTGGATAGAACAATAAGCCTTGGCATCCGCTGGGACTACCTAATCACACATGTAGAACGCTGAGGTTATTCCCCAAAACAAAAAGGGATGCACCTCATATTGTCAGATAATTCGGGATGTATGATTGCTATGTCTATGTTCTGCTTATTCTAAAGCCATAGAATAATATAATACTAAAAGATTCTCGGTGGCAAAATCCTGTTGGATTTATTAGGTTGCGATCTTGCTACGTATTGCCTGTGGACCTAATGTCTCCATAATGTATCCCTTCATTGGTTGACCAAGGTCCACCTACGTGAGCCTCCCATTGGTGGCTGAACAGCTCTCATCACCACCTTGGCCCACGAGTACAAGCCACCACGAGTAATCAGATAAACTGAGGGTAGCCCACCCCTGTTGACCTGAGGGTAGCTCCACTCTTTTAATGTAGAGAGAACCTTGGAAGCCACAAAGTACTTACGCCACTACTGCTACTACTCCGAAAGGTCTATACGCCAACCGAAATAACTTTGCTAATATTAATCCTAAACGAATACAACTAGAACAAATTATTATATAATTAAAAAAGCTATCGATTGAATTACATGTTATTCGAAATATTAAATTAACAGTAGTTGTATTATTTAAAAATAACAGTAGTACTTTAAGTAGAATAGTAGCAGTGGCAGTAGTAGCGCAAGTACTTTGTGGCTTCTCTCTACATTAAAAAGGTGGAGCTACCCTCAGGTCAACAGGGGTGGGCTACCCTCAGTTTATGTGTAGACTCAATCCCGACAGATTTCGTCCTTGTGGTCGGGGAGCAAAAGAAGTTATATGATACAAGCAGGTTCAAGCCCGATTTCCTCCAACTTACTGCTATGTGACCAAGCCCTGCGCACAGATCCAGCCACAGGTCCATTGTCAAATGCTCGGTTCTGGAATCGAACACCTTGCGTGCAGCGGCGGCCCCAGCGTTCCAAAGTGAATGCATGCTTAATGATAGCAGTGCCTTCTAATAGCAGCACTTGACTGATTTTTTTCCCCGAGTGCCTGTGTGAACCCGCACAAGCAGGTTCTATCTATATGAGAAAGTAAAATCAGCAGGACCTAAGTAGTATTAATATGTCAAGCCGCGACGATCAGCATTGCCGTGGTGAGGCCCACGGGGACAGATTTCGAGTTCGAAGAGGCGTGTCTAAAGAATTTTGGCGTTTAATGTTCAGTGTTTCAAGGAAAGGGGACATGTGAGTTGAAATGAAGGTGAACACAGCTTCTCCGGGTATCAAGAATGTGCGTAAACCGTGTGCACTCTCCAATTTCACTGTCTCCCATGACACGAAATAACTCGACGTTGATGCACAGCCTGGGGAGCTATCCTCTTTGCAGCCTGTTGTACTGTCCCCATATACCAGCACAACCATGTGTACAAAAAAGATCGGAGGTCCGATGTCGTTGTGAGAAATTTCCGAACCCCAGGAGGACTCATACCGCAACGGCCGAGAAATAAGGCGGGAAAAGGGGAGGGGCCGGGGGGGCGGGGGGAGATAGAAGAAAAAGGAAGAAACAGTTCGCAAACGGCCCTTCTGTCAGCTACTACATCTGCCTCCCAATCTGAGATCAGGATAACCCCCGGGTTGACCCAGGAGGAAGCGACGCACCCCCATTTGGGAGGGATTCGAACCCCCGACCTTATCGATGCGATCGGTAAACCGCGCGATGAATCATAAACCCCTAGACCACCGAAGGCCGTTTAACTTCTGGCAGGGTGGCCCGTAATCTTAATCCTTCCTGTCCAGGTTTCAGGCCCAGTGGTAGCGAGGTATAGCCGGGCGAATTGTGCGTTGTTGGGAAGGCAGTGGTGGTAGCTGCTGCCCGACGCTGCTTAGGTAGGGGGGAGACGAAGGGCGGAAGGAGAGAAGGAGAGGGGGAGGAGCTTCATTGGCTGGCCGAGCAGGTGTCACGACTTGCCATCGTCCGGCAACGTGGGCTAGGCCTAGAATCTAGGTGTAGGTGGAGTCGATTCACCGTGAGAAGACCGATAAACCGTGCTGTTTCCAGGCATATGCATCCAGTGGCACGTCTTTCAGATCTTGTTGAGGGACTGGGAAGGGGGCAACTCACGACTATCTAGTCAATTTTTGAGGAACAAATTGACTAAGAGCCTTGCGATCTTGCCCGAAATCCGTATATTCTCTGCTGTACTAGAGAGCGGCAGTCCCTTTCAACATTTGGTGTTGTCATTGTAGTCTGTGACACCCGGGCTGTTGTGGACAGCGAGCCTCCAAGAGAGTAGAGAGGGCATAGCATGCTAGGTCTAGATACAGCAAGCACCAAAAATGCCACTATTCATAGCCCTATCTAGCAAATCATGACTGCAAGCGTATGGCAACGAGTCGCTCTGCGCAGGGCTCTGCCGCTGTTGAGCTCTTCGAAAAGCCGAGGCGGGCAATGAGGGATGGAGTGGAGGACGAGAGCATTGAAGTGCCAGGCTTTTTTTGACTCGGTTTTTGGGCAGAGCCATGCAGGGCTTTACGCCTTTTGCCGCCTGCCACTTGCTGCTTCCATTCCCCCGTCTTGCCTACCCCTTTTTTCATATATCTTACTAAACCGACTACACGCAGTCTCGGGAGGATGGAGCGAGAATCATAGGCGAAAGGCTGTATACGCTTAGAGCACGCTGGGGGTGTAGAGGTAGCCTTTCACCAGGCCTGGCGCTCCTATAGCGAGGATGAGAGAATAGCCGCTTTTGGAGTTGTAAGACAAGAAGGAAGGACCGGATACGTTAGTAATCCAAGTCGTTAAGGGCTGCATGACCGTGGCTGGGGCGCGATGCGAGGTCACAACGGGTGAGGCATTTTGCGCGTCAGGAAAGAAGTCAAGTAGATCGATGGCGTGGTCGTAATGGATTCCCAGGCTGCGTTGCGTTCACCTTGGCTTCATTTCGTTACCGCCGCATCGTTTCGAAGGCCGGAGCCTCGAGGCATCTGTGGTAAAAGATAGCGTGCGGAGGGCAATCAATATTAGCCTTAATTAGTGCTGAATTGTATGGCCGTGGGAAACAGTTGGTACAGAGGTAGATAGTTCTAACACAGTGCTCACGGCTAGGCGCCAAAAGAGATTGCATCAAAGGTAAGGTGACCGCTTCCAGGACGAGTGCCACAAGGGACGATCGCCAACACTGAGATGTGTAGAACAGTTGCATGTATGGGGCGACGACGTGGAACCGAAGACGGGCTAAAAATAGGTAGTCTGCTGGTGGGGCTCAGTAAGGCTGGACCCCGCAATAGCGAGCAGCCTCAAGGTATCGTGGGATACATGGGGCAACCCGCTCACACAGCTAGGCAATGCACTGAATAAGAAAGAAGCCATCAAGGAGTGCCCAAATGTAGAATGACTACAAATAAAACATAATAACTGCTTCAGATTTATTTAAGCGGGAAGGGGAAGGAAGAGAAGACGAAACTGGAAAGGGCGATGTAAATTTATATAACATATAAAATCGAACTTGAGACGTTGCTGTAGAAAGGAAAAGAGAGGGAGACAAAAAAAAGAAAAAAGCACGAGCCCTCGGATGTAAGTGTATTACCACTTGACCATCTAAGGGATGATTCATCGCGCGGTTTACCGACAATTACCATATTGCTACCTAGGTATATAATTCTTTCTAGACTTAGGTATGTGCAAAGTTTAAACGTAAAGTTTTGCTATGAAAGGAAGAAAAGAGGGGAGGGGGGAAGGGGAGAGGAAAAAAAGTAAGAAAAAAAATAAAAAAAGCACGAGCCTTCGGACGTAAGTGTATTACCACTTGACCATCTAAGGGATAATTCATCGCGCGGTTCACCGACAATCATCACGTCTTTACCTAGGTATGTAAGTCTACTACAAAATCATATTCTGAACCATAAAAATATAAGCCTACGCTACTATTTATGTACGCCATTGTGCAGGTCCCTTAGAAGGAAGTCTAGATTTGTTGTCCTGCAACTACCAGCAATTGGAGTCTGGCTACTACACCATGATATAGTTTAGCCGGGTTCCCTACAGCATGAAAGCAGGCGTGTTAGCGTTCGAAATATCCTAAGTTTCATAATCCCCAAAGGCCTACAAGTAACATAAGTACCTAGGTACCTAGGTACCTCTAAAATTGTTAGTAAACATGCTAATTACAAGAGAAGTAATTGCTATATTATAGATAGCACGAAGCAAGTTAACAGATCCACTACAATAACACTACTATGTAATCGCCCCACCGTATTAACTAGTCGCTAATCATACATGGCTTCGAATGGTTGAACAAAGTGACTGAGGTCACTTTTCTTTCTGCAAAAACTGCAAGTCTAAGCAGTAAAAAGTGCATTGAACTCGCGATGCGATTCTAGTAATAAGCATAATACCAAGGAATACGGGGGTTTTTACAGCCGCTAGTGTTAGGGAAATCTAACCGCAACATTTAAAATGATAATTAAGCCCCTATTTCATAGATATTTTTTAAAAGCGACCGGTTGCTGGGGAATAGAGTCCTGGAACCTTGCCCCCCCGCGCGCGCGTTTCTTACCCTAAGAAAAAAAACTTTTACTATCTAGGACCTAGGATCCCTTTTAAAACATCGACTGGTGCTTTATATAATTGCCGGTTTTGATTATCCCCACCCCGTTTCTAAATTCGTGTATAGGTTTAAAGGTCGCCAATTTTATGCTTAACAGGGACGACAAGCTACCTGAGGATCGGATCGGTATTACAGCTAACCTTTACAGAGCGTTAATACTAAAACAACAATACTAGTCGCAATAAAAAGTGCTAGCACAAGGCATCCAAGGAAGGGAAGCAGGATATATTGTCGAGCTTAGCTTATCGGTAGAGGCCATATCAAGATTCGTTCACCCGAAAGGACTCTCGTAGAATTATGACCTTTCTAAACCCCTGTAGAGGCTCAATACATCTCCTACTCTAATCTCTACTTGCTCCTTTCCCATTTCTATCGCACCATAAAAACATCGTTGTTCCAAAGCTTGGGAGACAGCAAACTTACTATACTAGGCAGGGCTTCTTTCATTCTTGACTGAGCTTAGCAATTTGGTCCTCTAAAGCTCCCGGGGGCGCTTAGTATGCATATCGGATATTTGTAGTCGAATTTGTTTGTGCCCACGGGCGAGTAGAAAACTGTATGTTTGTGATGAGAGGTCTCAACTTCCACACGGACCCCACATCACTAGGGCTTGGCACTCGCTGTGCAACCACAGCCACAAGTGGATCTGTTTGTTGTTTTTATTTATTTATTTTTATTTTGTGTATTTAAAAATTTTTTTTTAAATAAATACACACATTATTTCTCCTTTCGAAGTCACAATCCTCATTCCGAACCATCCGTGTGTGCTTCTGTCAAGGAAGGGCAGTTCTGTCTGCGGCTGCGAGGCTGCTTGCCTGTGGCCAATGGCTAAACTGCTACTCATCCGAATCTAATATACCATCCTCTTTTTTTTTCTTTCTCTCCTTGCTAAGGAGATGCTTTGTCTTCTCCTCAAAGAAGCGCAAGATCGGCGGCTGCAGCCATGCCTCCGAATGTGCAATATTCTTGTGGCTTGCTTGGCCCAAGCGCACACAACTTGTGCGAGGTTACTACCCTCGGCGTTCAATAACAACAAAACGATATCAAAATGATATATCCAGTTCAGCTTCCTGCACCATTGCTATTAGGTATAAGCGCCTTTGCTTGAGGCGCGATTACCTATCTAGCAGTGGTGTTCATGACTCTGTGGTAAGTCGGTCATCTCATTTGCCCTTTCTTATCTCTATATTCATATGTAAGTTATATATCTCACTTCGACCTATCCCTTGTTCTCTGTCAGATACTTGTAGACTGCTCGGTGCTCATTTGTATTAGCTCTTTTGTTGCCGACCCGAGGATGCCTTGCTCTTGCCATTATTGTTGTTGTGAACCCCCTGGACCCGCCTGGTCTAGGAGGAGAACACGATGGTATTCGCATATACTACACAACTCGCATATCTCAGGTCTATCAAGACGAAGACGGCGTTGGTATTCGCATATACTGCGCATACGCATAGGGCGCCTGGCCACAACTTCCCCACCATATGCCTACCTATCCCACAAACTCTTCAAGCCCTTTCCCTTCCTTCTTCTTCTCTTCCTAGGCCACCAACAGTTTTTTCCAAACCTGAAGTTGCTGCTCACACCAGCAACCCAGGACCACAAGAGCAAGAAAAAGGCCCTAGGGCAGTCAAATCAAGAGACCTCAGCATGGTTGGCCTTAGCGAAATGCCGCTCGAGGTCCTGGAGGACATCGTCCACCGGGCGGTGTCCTTTGGGATCTCGGGTAAGGCAGGGCAGATGGCCTCTGTCAACTCCCTGTGGCAGAAAATCGTGGAGAAGAAGACTTTCCAGCAACTTCGCCTCACTGAAGCTGGCGTTTCCAAGGCGATGGAAATCCTCCAGAACCGTCCCGAACGCTTTAGCTTGGTGCGACTCATCATCTTCAGCGTAGTTCTGCCAACTTACTCTGCGGCTGCTGTGAGTGGCTTACGCTGGTAATCTGGTAGCACACCGTACTGACTCTAAACTTAGTGCACGATGCTAGAGTCGCCTCAAGACAAATTCATGAACGACCTTGACTTCTCGAAGTCTATGAACGTCTTGCTCGCTCACCTTGCTCAGTGGCCGTCAACCGGCAAGACACTTGAACTGCAGCTCTATGCGTTCTCGCCAACCGACGCAAGATGTCTCATGGGAA